AACCTAGGTTTCATGCAAACACATGTCTCTAAGAGATACGAGCGACAAGGTTCGCAGACGACGAACACCACCTGATTCGATCGATGTTGGCACGGTGGATCTGAGGAGGATCCGACGGGGACAGCTTTCGGACTTTTTCTGAGCAGTGACGATCACTCTACCATCGACACCTGTTCGAGGCGTTTTCAAGCACTCTCTCATCACATGTTCGAACGGAGGGAACTGTGTTTCGTGATTGCAAAAACAAACTTTCTCCTCGAGTAATTTGATTCTTCACGAGCTCACGTCCAGTCAAAACCTTTGTGAAAACTTGAGGTTCTCAACAATTTTGCTTTAACATCACGAACTGTAACGAACCGAAATCCATTGCGCATCTGAATTACCAACAGTTTCACGATTTTAATACCCTGGATTTTAGTGGAATCTGAGACAATTGGAAATGTTCGGCCTAAACATTGGCAAGTTGATTGTAAATTGAGATTTGTTTAAGAAAAAGACGACTGGGGCTAAGACTTATTCAATTCCTCCTTGATTTTTTGTCGATTTTGAGGAGTGAAGACATCACTTTCTCGCCCTGCTTGAATAAAATTTCGAAGAGAATACGCTCAGCACAAGAATACGAAACAATGTAAGAGATCGTTCTCTTCATTCTTCTGCGGCTAGTCATATTGATAAGAAGTGCAGGGTGATGACCTGATCCTTTTTTTTCTTGTATATCATACCCATAACCTGCTACAACCAAGATGTAAGCTTCCCATCAGTACGCAGTGATTTGTATCAGGGATGCCTGGAGCATAGGTGCCTACGAATTCTAAGCAACAATTCTCGGTAGACCATCGAAACGCTGAGAAATCACAGTTTCGGTTCATGTTGAACCAAGATAATTATGCCTCCATACGTTCCAAAATTCCTTGGGAAGGTTCCATACTCAAAAGTGATAACTACAGTTAAGCAATACACTAGTGACACACTTGGATTTGCAGCAGCAGTTTGATCTGATTTGCGAAAATAAAAATTCAAAGGGAAAAAGCTGTGAAACAAAACAAACACCATTTGAAAATCGGTGTTCTTCGAACACAGGACACATTTCAAACTATCGATTTCTTTTTAAAGGGATACTTGCTCTTTGGAGCGGCTTAGGTGATCGGTGGACCCCAAAGGTCGACTATCCGAAAAGGTTAGCTAACAAGTTCTGACTTCGTAGTCCATGTCCTTCCACTTTCTATGTAGTCCAGGCTCCGAGGAACGTGAAGGCATCGAAACGTCAGCTCAATAAATTTTTGTCATAATCCCGGTTCTACAGCTTAAAAAGTAAACCTCAAAACCCAAAGAAGCATGCTGAGATTTAAAGACAGTCGCACTTGGACGCCCTTGAAGCATTTTCCTTCTTAATTAGGACATCCAAATCAATGCACGTGCCACATATTCATAAAAAGGGGAACTATCCGTAAGTTGTGTAGGAATTCTCATCCACGGCGTATATTCTTAAGGTTGCTGAAGCCCTCACCTGCCAAGTGATTCTGCCGACGTGACTGTGTCGGCCTCCTGCCTCACTCCGTAGTGGCTGGCTTAGCAACCATTGCAGTTAACAAATCAGCACCAACTGCTGTCGCGGCGTATGCCATCTTTCATAGTAGGGCGTTGAGCGTTGAGCGCCGGGCTTTGATAATGCTGGTCGTCCACTGCACGGGTTAGCAGCGAATAAGTTTTTAATCGAATTTTTATTGGTAGTGTTATTCACTTTTCCTTTTTATAAAACGTGGATTTCATATCCCCTTTTTTGAATTCTATGGTATAGTAAAGCCAAAGTGTATCGTTTTGAATGTCTCTACTCTCCGCACTGTCAGTGGAGTGCCAACGCTAACGCGGCCTGCGAGTGCCGAGTGCCATCCGCCCAAGAGCGCCGAGCGCTCTAAGCTCAACGCTGTACTCTGGAAGCGCCCTATGAATTACTAGTGCGCGGGGACGGGAACAGGGGCTCCTTCTAAATGATCAAGAGCTTATCAGACCCCAAGCGATCAATTTGAAAGCGGTGATCAGTCGGAAAAGGAAGGAGCGCAGCTGGGTTGTAGAGATGAAGTGCTTAATGTTTACGTGACGAGACAATGTTTGTATCAACGCACGGATGGTTACAGTCGTAACAAAGATTGCTCCTTGCACACAATGATGACTGTGTTATATCCGTGCCCTCACCCGCGCCTGCTATAAGTGAATTCTGATTCTCCAATACCCGCTATCTACGACTACGCGTAAGCCCCAAAAGCTTTCAGATGTTTCTTGGATAGTGAGAAAGTCAAGAGGTAGTCGACGAGATAAAGCTTCTTGCCGTTTGCTTGCGCTGACATATCTGAGGAGGTTTTGGTATCCTATTGAGATGGGTATGGGCGGAGGTGGTGAAGTGGCAAGAGGCGCACTATCTCACACGCAGTAGTCACGGGTTCATGTTCCGGCTCGATTTCCGCCCAGGTCAACCAAGCTTTCCATCCCTCCAGGGTCTGTTAATCGGCAGCAGACCCTTCTGGGAGGAAAAAAGCACTGACTTGTGCATTGGCTAGCCACCGCAAGTCATTGTATAGGCCAAATACGCACTCATTACGCCATTACGACTCTGAATGGAAGTCGAGTGCGGGAGCGCACCCCTCAGACTGGATTGTTTAACGCCAACAACTTTATCCTTTTTCCTTTTTATTGTGATGGGTGAGGCCTCCTTCAACTTGGGAGTAATAATATACCACAGTTATCCGGAATAACCTTGAAAGAGGTGTAAGACAAAAAATTTCAAGTGGCGCAGTATCACGCACGCACGACTCGGGGATGGGATCTCAAATCACTACTCGCCCAAGCCAATCAGTCCCAACAGTTTTCCATCGGTTATTTGTTACCCTTCTCGTATGGGAAGATAAAATCATCGGTTTGTGCGTCGGCTGGTCACCACAAGTCATTGTATAGAACACGTACGTACAAAAAAAGACCACTACGATTCTGAATGGAAGTCTTGTGTGGGGCGCAATCCAAAAACGAATTAGGTCAGGGCCACAACTTTTTATCCGTTACCCTTGAAATAGGTCTCATCAAAAAGGAGCATCCCTGAACTTTCAGTGAACGGGCCCGGGCGAAGCTTTGCCTAGCGGACTGGCCGTCACTTTGGGTTGTTTCTTGGTTCAGAATCTCTCACGTGTAAGGCTGAACTTGAAGTGCAGAACTGTTAACAATACCTATTGGCTAGACACCTGGCAACTGTTCCAAACTGCTTGTAAACTAATCTTTCCGTTTGTCAGTATCGCCCAGAAGTAGTTTTCTGCACCTACAGTGGTTCACCCGCTTCGCTTCGCTCAGCAAGTGTGGGTAACTAGGTAACTCATCCTTCCTTCCCTCTTGATAAGCACCTTAGTAAGCCATCTAACAAGGAAATCGAGTTATTGCCCAGTGGATGCAACCAGAAGGTCAGAAGGTATGAGTGGAGTAGGATTTGAACAGCAACCAACGAGGTACCCTTCAGGTTGATCCGTACTGAACCTCCCATCGAGAAGGGAAAGTCCTTACTTGGGCGTTCGACCCGCACACACGTATACCCTCAAGGTGGCCTGTGACCAAGCCAAAGCAGGAGCCGGGTGCTTTTCAAAATGGTAGAATTATGGAAAGTTTGGACCTAAAGATAAATGTATTTCACAAAAGAGAGGATTAACTAGGAAACGGACAGCCACCAAACGACAGTTTATAAGGAACTGGGAGGAAAGATGCCCATCATCCATTCCATTGTGAACAAGGGCTCTGGGGATGGGAGGGAGGGGGGAGGGAAAAGGAAGAATGACAAAGACGACCTATAACGAGAGCTTTTCCTGTTGTTTGGGCGTAAACGTGTGCGTTTTCTTAACGGGTTTTGGCATACGGTAGTCGCGAAGTAGTGTGGTATACACCCACAGCTTCCCGGTGCCAGCCGGCTGTCCGATCGACCTCATTGTCGGGGAAACCCTGATCTTAACCAATGGTCCGCAGTTCTTTAGTTTTCCACCGGAACTTTGTGAGCCTAGTATTCAAGCTGAGTGGGTTTCTTAAACTGCTTCTCTCTCTTAGGTCTATGGGTGCCCATATTTTACGGCTACCTGGGAACAACTATCTAGCTCCTACCTCGCCAGACGCACTATCGCTTTTCTCTATGTACTACCCATCCCATGACTTGGATTTCTTTCTGGTTCTGAAAATAGCCTAAAGAAAAATGTTTTGTTCTTGTAATTCCACCGTTAGTAATTCATTCAGTAAATGTGTAATAGGTGCATCAAGGCTCGCATAGCATTATGTTTGGAGACAAAACACAAAATGAGTCACTGCCGACGAGGAAAAAAGTAATTTTCGTCAAATTCCCCCACCCATGGTTTTTTCTGGCTCAAAAATTTTGTGGGCGTTCCCACTGTGTACTCTTGGCCACGGTGAAAACAACTTTTTTTGTTGTTATAAATCACCACTGGAAATCTTACCTGCTTCGATCGATCAAAAAGGTCATTTTTTAAATTTTTCATTCAAAGCACACCAACAACAGCACGAGAGAGGTGATTTAGTTATAATCATGCTTAAAATGCTCACGATACTTGCTTAGTCTTATCTTACGCAAACATGTATCGGTTTTTCGAGCACTTTCTGTTCCGAGCTATCTGATGAAAGTCTCCCATTAGAATACCCAGTAAATTCTCTTCCCACTCCTTTAAGGTAAGGTTATTCCATTACTCTGACTGCTTAATTCTGTCGCTTGTTCGCTCAAATGAATTGATTGCAGTGATAGTGTGTTTTGAAAAATCACAAAGAAATGTTCAGTTGTTCCGTGTTTCTGCTAGGACTGGTCTTCACAACGAACTTTGTCCTTTTTCTCCCCTCTGACTCATCGTATGTCGATCTTAGTGATTTTCCTCGTGACGTTCTCACTAATCTTGAAATTTCACATTTCAGAATCAATCCATATTCTTTCTATGCTAAGATAAGTTGCTTGCAAAGACTAGGTGCTAGGAATGATCGTGGATTTGGTGAGTGCCGCTCGTCAAGCAGACTGGGATCGCGCTCGTGAACTCCTCTACCATCATTGGGGTTCAGAATGCCCAAAGCTTTACGCACCCAATCCGGAACATCCTTGGGAAGTTGCTCAAGATGATAAAGATATCAGTAAGTTCGAAATGTTCATTCTGATTGTATAAGCAACTTTTAGCAATCATTGGTACACTTCTTGAGTTGATTTTTCTTAAAGTGGGTACAATCGAGGCCTTTCAGATTCAGCTCTGTTCGTACCGTTGGCTGGTGCTTTTTGTGCCGACTCTTCGGTGACGGACTCTTCCCTCCGACCTTTGATCGAACAAGCTGGTCTCTCGTCTGAAAGACGTCGGCCAGGTCAAATATGTGGTCATGTCTTTAAGAGTGGCGAACTCACATACAGTTGCAAGTAAGCCTGATTGTTTATAACCATAGATTCTGCGCTGGTTACTTTTTTCTACTGTATTTCTGGTACAGAACACTTTTCATTGTCCTTTTTCCTATAGAGACTGCGCAACAGATGCTACATGTGTCATGTGCCACGAATGCTTTCACTTATCAGAACACAAAGCACATAAGTACAAGGTCTGTTCAATGTTTGCGTTGTTGGAAAGGTTTCCCAAAAATAAAGGCGTGATTCTTATGGATAATTCTGTTTCTCACATCTAATGGTGACAGAACCAACCTTCATTTGTAGTGTTCCATGAATACGTGATGTCTTGCATGTTAAAGTACGGAGAAAATAGTTAGCCCTCTCTTGAACATAAAAGGTTGACATGGAATTCAAATTGTTCCTTTATACCTAAGAGTTACATTCAGATGCATACATCCACGGGTGCAGGTTATTGCGACTGTGGTGACAAAGATGCATGGAGGAGTGGTTACGCCTGCAAGTTACATGAAAAGAACGAGAGCGAGTAAGTTTACTGCCCCAAATGTGGTGTCACTTTTGTTTTGGCCTTAACTGTTGCAATGTCATTTCAGCACTGTCCCATTTTCACTGCCAGAGTCTCTCGAGATGAGACTCCGTGGGCTGGCATGCCTTATTCTTCAATATTCTACGAAATTGATATGCTGGGAAAAGGCTGATGTTTTGCCAATAAATCTCACTGTGTAATCTTTTCACTTCTACGCTTTTTTATCCTTCTTCAAGGGATGCTGTTATAAAAACTATTGCAGCGTCCCCATGGAAAAACCAGAGGTTCCAAGTATCGCCCCTTATGTTACCGTCTTGTACAACGACGAAACGCATACGTACGAGACCGTCATTCGGGCGTTGGAAATGTTCATAAATTGTACAAAGGATCAAGCAATGCTAATCGCTACAATAGTTGACCGCGAAGGTCGAAGTTCGGTCAAGGTTGGGCCAAAACCAGACTGCGAACGAGTCAAATCCGATATACAGGTCAGTTGACGGGAAACTGTAGTTGGCCTGAGTATTTCATATGAAAAATCTTTTGATATTCGTTTAGCGTCGCACTCTTCGTGACGTTAACAGGCGGACAGAAAAGGCAGGTCCTCTTGACGTGAAAGTAATGGACGGCGCATTAGTAGCTCATCAAAACCATGCCATTGCGTTGCTTGCTTGGCTGAACTCGCAAATTGACTCTTTTCGTGAGTGCCATTTAAGATTCTAGCTTTTTCTGCATTTGATGGATTAGGTAAATCGAGGCTTTAGCTTTTTTCTGCATTTAATGGGTTTTTTTGACCGGGTAATTAGTAGGCCGAAATGCAGTTTGTCATATCACATACATCCCGTCCGTGTGATCGCAAGTCCGTCTTTCATGTCTTGAGTTTTTTGAAAAGCACTAGCATCATTTTTTCAGCAATCCTTGGCTCCATTGTGGGTGATATTCTGTTGAACACAATGGTAGAACGGGACGATGATGAACTTGAAGCTCAGGAAACAATACTCGTTCGACTACTGCGGTTTGACAAGAAAATGTGGAAATGTTTGTTATCCTTTTATTATTTCTTCGTTCAGTTGAATTTAGTGAAGCGTTTGTGTTTCCTTCCACTTTTGATGATTTCTTCGAATTATACGCTCAAATTTTCAGTAGCTACCTTTGAAAACGGATATTAGTATTGATGAGTCATTCATAAAAAAACATATTGCAGCTGCGCGAGCTAATACTCACCAAATGTTGATGAAGACCGTACTCATGAATTTCGAGCAGAAAGTATTTTTCTCGAAAACATTCCTTGAGGTTAGTTGGGTTCAGCTTTGAGAGCCTCTTTCCTACCTCAGAGTGCTTTTTCCAGCATTATGACGATATCTACGCAGAATTCATAGACGATGATCATGACATCGATATTTCTGTTGTTAGCCTCACTGTCCAGTTCTTGACAGTTCCCAGTATAGCGAGGTGACAAAAAAGTACTTCAATTATGCTGATTTTATCATTTTTTCGCTCTTGCATAATTCAGGCGTTTGATTGCCGAAGATGGTGCCATGCGAACAGTTTTCACGACACTGATGAAACATACTGATAAATTTACCAAAGGTTTCTTTTGTTTTTATAGTCTTTTGAAGTGTCTGCTTTTGTATCCGCTCATTTATATCCAGAAGCTCCAAACGATTTAACTCGTTTTGACTTTGCCAAACACTCATTTCCTGTCACTGTGAGGAGAGGGATCCATATGATGCGCGACCTTGCGTGAGTTATTTTTGGAGCAGATTTTTTTAAAATGTTTAGCAAGTGCTCAACGCTCAATTTAGGTATATCCTAACCTGTGTTCCGTCTAATGCAGATTGGAACGATCAACTACGGGAGCGATTCTTAGAGGGGTGCCAATCACTCATTCAGTTTTTGCATCGAATGCAGGTTAGATTGGGTCGATCTGTCAGAGTTCAAGGACGTGACGACCGTCTGACGGCGTTGCTGACCACGTGTTGACCATACAGAACAGATTGCGTTCAAAGCCGCAGGAACTGTAGCGGTATCGAAAGCAATCTGTCGATCGTTGTCAACACGTGGCCAACAACGCCGTCGATCGGTCGGTTGGTCAGTCGGTCGGCACGTCGTTGAACACTGAGGGCATCCGTTGCGCTCACATTTTTAAAACTAATGTTGGTATTGTGTGTTCTTCTGCTTTATATTCTCAGCTTTCCAATTCAGGGTATGGATGAGGTGAAGCGGCTTTCAGTGGAACATCAGGTGTGGGAATTGGAGTGGGAGACTGCATTCAACATTCAACTTCGCATACAGGACAGCCTCGGCTACGTTATAGCTTGGGCAGGATCCGATGTAAGCATTTAGCCGTGATTATAAAAGACGTTTCCGTTCGAGTTTTCGTAGCTATGAAGGCCCTTGTTTTTTCCAGCGTGCAACTCATCGCGCATTTTTGCGTCTCTGCCTTGATTCGCTTCTGCTTCATCCTCCCTCTTGTCTGGAAGAACCAGCAGGAGCTACTCATACTGTTGTTGATGGTATCTTCGGCTAATTTCCATTCGCTTTTTTTCAGATGGTCTGTCATCTGGAAAAAGTCACCATTTTTTAGTTAATGGAGAATCGACAGTTATTAGTCCATTTGACGTTCTGCGTGGTGCTGTCTCCATTCATCAACCGCTATGGCGTCTGACTGCAGGGCTATTCACTGCTGATAGCGACCTGTTGCAATTCCTTTTGCTTCCTGACTCCAGTAATTTTACGGACGATGAGAAATATATACGCTCTCAGATGAAAAAAATGGCAACTATTTTGTACGAGATGCCTCTCAGGTATGGCGTTCTTGAATTTTTTCCATTCCATAAGATGTCTAATGCTGTTTTCAGGGCTCTGGTTCTGTGCGCTCAAGCTTCTGCGCAGCTATGGCGTCGCAATGGATTCTCACTGGTAAACCAAATTCACAACTACTACTCACCCCTTTGCCGCACGGAAATGTTCGACCGTGATCTGCTGATGATGCAGGTTCGTTCGATCACTTACTGTTTTGTGAGATGCATATTCATTGTTTCAATTACATAGTTTCGATACAACACGTTTTTCAAAAAGCGTAACAATTCATTGGTTTAGAGAAGAAACGAAGTAGTTTTTTGTTGATTTGAGCGCTCATGCCACATTTTTCAGTATTAAATTAAGTAATGCACTTGGTGAAAGTGGAAGTGTTTGGTGAAGTTGTGGCTAATTTGTAATTCAGCTGTAACATTAATTTTGACACTGGAATGTCATCTGAGATGAAATCATGCGGAGATGATTTATCCGCATTCCGCAAGCTTGGTAGGAGGGATGGCTAGACGGCTATGCACGAAATGGCAAGCAAAAGAATGTTTATGATTATTAAACAAATTAGGAAGAAACAAGTGTCAGTCACTTTGAAAGCTACTGTATCCGATATAGGTCATATGAATAACCCCAATGGATGGTAATTCCGGTAGTATATCAACAATTAGAGGATAAACAGCATCAATGGCTCCAATATAATGAGTGAGAAAATGAAAAAAAGCATTCGATAAAGGAAAGTCTAGAAGAAGCCGAGCCAATGTGTTACTGTCTTGCCAGTGTTTACAATAAGAACGTTACATTTTACTTACTGCAAGGGGGATTTCACTGAAAAGTATTCCCAGCATTCAGCATGAAAGTGCCATGACATAATTGCAGATGAATTCGTAGAAAAGTGTTTGCTTCTCAAGCTGACATCCAGTGTTGAAATAGTGTTTTGAATAAAGCTTATTTCGTCTTCAGGTAGGAGCCGCAATCCGTCCACCAACCGATTTCCTTCTGCATGTCATATGCCGGTTTCGATTAGTTCAATGGGCTGATCAATCTGGTGATGGGGGATCGAAGCACTCGACTCCGTTCGGGAAAATGGAACCTGAAGAAACTGGAAAAATCATAGTCATATTGGCTGAGGAAATGCTACATTTACTTATTATGATACTTGGTTAGCGACAGTTTGTCTTCCTATGAGTTTTGCGTTTTTTTTCTGCTAACTCCGTCTAATTCGGCTAGGTGAGAGATACCATCCTGGTGTAGGCAAGTGCACATTTACGGAGCAGGTGCAACGTGAAGTTATCCATGTGTTGTGTACTGGACCACAACCCTTCAGTCATGTGAGATTCTGAATATCCTTTACTGTTATTACAATCTACCTAGTCGTTGTAATCGTTGCAGATACAAAAACGGATGTCCCATGATCCGATGGTGGAGCGCATATCCCTGCATGAAGTAGTCAACAGTGTCGCCAACTTTGTGTGAGTTAAAAGTGCCGTTTTTAAACCCCTTTGCTATAGGGCGAACACTGTGCGAAACAAGCTGACTCAATACATGGCGTCGTGACTTCCATTGCTTTTGCTACAAAGCTTTGAACACACAAGGCAAAAAGCTAGCCTCGATGTTATATCAGTCAGTAACGATCAAATGCTAAGAGTTTGTAGGCGGATTCGCAGGATGTTCCCATATTGCCTTGGTTTGATTCGTGAGCGTTAGGTTCCAGGTTTAATGACTATGGAATGAGTGGCGACATCGGCATAGTGGTCTATTTCGGAATCCCCATTAAATGTTTTAATGTGATTAGATTATGACCGACACCATTAAGTAAACAAAGCCGTAAATTTCGAACTCCTGGAAGAAATATTCTCGGAGGTCTCAACTATTACATTATGCGCGTGGTGTGGTGCGTTGCCAAAGCTGCAATCGTAACTGTATTCAGACGTATAAGGATTCATCGAGCCTTACTTTTTTGTTCTCTTTAAAGTATTGTTGCTTTTGTATCACAGTCGTTAATTCAGCAAGCCGACAACTACCTCAGCTGGACAATTTCATCTGAAGGAGTCGTTACTCACCGAATACAACCCATTTTTCTACCACTATTCGAAGAGCGACTTATCACAAGCTGAACAATATCAACAAAAAATACGCTCAAAACTCAGTCGGTAAGGTTGCTTCGTTGTTTTCTCGCTCTCATCTACTCTTGAATAGCCGTACCCAGTAACGAATGGAAAATAAAGATAATTGCTATTCAGGGAGCTACAAGCGTGTCCACCATCTCTACCTGTTGAATTTGAGCCATTCTTCGCTCCTGTTCGAAATATATTGAAGACTCCATGTCTCGTCAAAATTCTCAAACTTGTTCTGGACAGAACGGGAAAGCGAAGCCGTTTCTCTAGTGATCGTCTCTTCCATAGGGTACGTGAACATGATTTGATTCTTCATCCGAGCATAGTGCTGCTACTATTTGAATACATTATATTTCTGGATTATTAGAACATTTTATGGATTATCAGAACATTTTTATATTTGGCGGCGCACTACAAAAACCTCTGTATGTTTATTCTACAGCAGCTTAATGCCCAGGTGTAAAGAATCTTTCGAACCATAGAAGTGTTTTATTGCTGAGTAGAAAACACGAATGGCGCGACCATCTTTTAATTTCACAATTATGGATTCCGGCATCGCGAATCATTTGATGACATTCGTTTGTTGTGCTCAAAAACCGACGCAACTGAATAGAGGGGTCTGGTCAGAGAATCGATTTCCGCTCGCCTTGGATGTGTTCCCTGTATTTAATGAACTTATACAATCGATTCGAACACCAGCTTTCTGGCATTCGTTAATGGTGAGGTATTAACTTAGCTTTTTGACGATGATATGCGCGCTCGTGCGCCCTAATCTATTAGCCATAAGCGTTGCGGCATATATGTTTTGCAAATGGATCGAATAGTTAGAATTTGAAGTTGCATTCGAGCTGGTTAGTGATTGGAAAGTTGCCGGTCTAAGTACACCGGCGTTGTTTCCTTGGAGTGATGTTCTTTCGTAATTACCATCATTTTGATAGTGGAACTGGATACCTAGGTTATAGTTCATGGTGTCGCAAAGATGACAAGTTGTGGGCGAAACAGTTGTAAGGGATAAAGAGCATGGTGCCCAGGAAGAATAAGTATGGGATCGAGTCCCGTCGGAGGCCGAAGTTTTGCCTATAACTCGCCATTGGGAAACTTTCGCATCATGTCCTGTTGCAAAATAACAGCATTCATTAGTGTAAGTCAAAAGCTTCATAGTTTCTAGCAAAGATTTTTAATTGTACTGATCGTACTGATTAGACGGCTTCGTTGATGTTGTGAGCAGGGAATTCAGAAAGGCTTCAATATCTGACTAGTTGTACATCCGCAAGAAATGTTTCACCGTAAGCAAGGTTTTAGACTCTTATCGAATTACTTTGGAATGTCGTAGAAACCTTCTCTATGATTGCCCTGTCGTCAAAGTAAGGTTTCCAGGCGCTTTTCCTAATCGGCATGGCTCTGCAAGAACAAGCTCGGGATCCCAAAGGCTTTGTCTTCACGGAGGTTGCAGAGAAGGAAGAAATTCTACGTTCGCTGGAGTCGCTTTCTGGGTCGGCCGAAGTTGCCACCCATGCAGACTTACTCTGGTGGACTATACAGGTAAAACTGAGAGCTGCTCGTCAGTGCTGCTTGATGTATTTATCTTATAATGCGTGCTTTCAGAAATATAAAGAGGTTCAACGTTTGTCCACAACTGGGCAGAAAACGGAACAGCATGGAGAAGTAATAGATAGTCAGGAAAATCCTAATGATGCAAAGGCAAAACGAGCTGCTCGAGCGGCAAAGATGCGCGAACAAGCAATGTTGAAGGTTTTTCATTAACTCATTCTTTTTTTAGACATGATCAATTCCAAGAGCATTTCAGATGTCAAAAATGCAAAAGTCGTTTTTGAAAGTCATGGAGACAGAGAGTCCAGCTTCAACAGAGCCTCTTGCGAAAGGCGGCGCTCTGTGTGAACTTCGTGGAGATGACGACGAAGATTTTGTGAGGTGAGTCGCAAAATCTATGGGGAATTCACTGGTTCTACTGTTTGGAAATATTATACTTTTTCGATTTTTGGTTGTCCGAAACGAAAGACTGACTCTTGTATTTTTAAGCTGAGTAAACTCCTTTACTAACAAACTTTTGGAGCTACGGTACCCACCAATTTTTCCCCACGAGTCTCTGAAAATTCAGCAAGCAGCAAGATCATGGTTTTCCTGTTTGCTTGGGTCTGCAACGAAGCCGAGTGGAAGAAGTATTGCCTCGTAAAGTGACCTGCATACTTTGCCAAGAAGAGGAGACGCTCTCTCCCGAAAATGGAAAGGCATTTGTCTGTGCTGCCTACGTTCAGAAGTATGCTTTTTGTTTTGTTCGAGATACGGTTCCATTTCGTTGTCACAAACGTTGTCTAGTTATTGTTGAGACCGTTTTCCATGAAAGGTTGACTGTCTCTTAGAATTCATGGCAATAAAACTAACACTAACACTAACAGTGAGATAAGCTACCACTCGGGCTATTGTAGCAGGAATCGCATAGTCTTGGAATTTTTGTTTAAGTGGAAGCATTTTCAGATCTTTGCTATTTGCGCAACAGGGAGAACCTGAAACTGAAGCTAAGTTGCGGGATTTGGCGCCGGCTAATCTCCTCTTTGGCATTGATGCTTCAACATGTTCGCACACAATGCACTATGAATGTTTCCACAGGTAGGCAATTCTATTCACGTTGGAGAATATTGACGTTTGTCGTTCAAGTACATAATCTAAATAAACCTTCAGCCTTTCGGAAACTCTTCTGAGTAGAGAACGTCAGCGCCCACGTCAACAGATGGTTCTCAATCAGAAAATGGTCGATCCAGAGGTTTGACTTAGCGGCAATCAGGTTTCCTTCTAGAAATTCATTCCAGCTGTAATTCCAGGTGGGTGAGTACTTGTGTCCACTCTGCAAACGTCTTTCCAATACTGCTATGCCTTTGTTGCCAGCGTTACAACTAATGGACATCGACGGGTCAGTAAATTCGGCCCTTACTGCGGAGGGGTTCCCTCTACTTTGCCATAGGAAGTCAACTATTCTTTTCAGTTTCTCCACAGCGAGCAGCGATTCACCAGAGACTTTCGATAGTTGGGTCAGCCGAGTGAAAAGCCTTTTGGATACTCCCTTGGTTCGACAGACACCTGCACAGAAACCAAAATCACACAGCAGAAAGAGGTAGAGCAAGTCTTTTTCTTTTTATTTGTGACTTTTTGGCTGAAAGGCGACAGCTTCGAATATTTATGGTGTTCCTTCTCTATTGAGGAATTAGGAACTTCAAAAAGGGAAATCGCACAACATAAACCTCAACAATGTGTTCATGAATGTTTCAAGGTCTATGTTGTATCTTTTAGATCTCATTCTGAGCGTTCTCTGTTGGAACTTGCAAAGCAAGGAGACGAGCTCTCAACAATGCCGCTGGATAATTCTTTGTCGACATCAGTACCGTCTGCATCTACTATGTCTCTTTTACTGGGACAGAAAGCTCCTGCTCAGGAGGTGTCTCAAGCTGCTTCGAGTACTTCTTGCAATGCAATGGGTAACTCCAGTTCAACTTCTTTTAAGAATTCCGTTCTGTTTTGCTACCATTTCATTTTATTATTACATTTATTCTTTTTTCGACTACAATGCATACTCGAGTAATTATTTTTAACCTTTTCTTTGGTCTCTCGTTGGATGAATTTTTGTTAAGACGTCGACGTCGAGGAAGATTCTCAGAGAGCTGTGGATTTATTCCGTGAGATGACAGAGATTATGCGCGTCCAAAATTCAGAGGATAGAGCAGATGTCGAAGTAACACTATGTTTTTTCCTCTGTACTTTTATTTTTAACTCTTTCTGTTCGTATTTATACTGCGAAAACATTTCAGCCGACTTCGCCGCCATTCGAGACCGCTTCCTCATCAGACTTCGCGGCATCACGCCGGGAAAGAAGGAGTGATAGTTCTGGTGCACGATTCGGCTTCCTTGGTGGCATAATTAAAGGATTACCAGCTGCTGGAGTAGCTGTGCTGTTGAAGCTTTTGCGAAAAATGTATTTTTTTTTTGAATGAAGCTCTATAAATTGGTAAGCAACGCCTATATTAATCCCATTTCAGCGTGGGTCCGTCGTACGAACGTTATGAGGAAATGGTGAAAGTTTTCAGCAGCATGTTAATTCACAAGGTAAGTCCGATCTGTGTCAATTGGTGAACCATTTTTAGTTATTTGAGGATTTGTTGACCTTACGAGAGAATTAGCAATATATTTTGCTAAGCATTTTCGGTTTCTCTCTTCGCAATTTGAATATGACGGCTACTCTTCTTTTTCTTTAGCCAATTTAGCAAATATTGTGTTGTACATAACTTCTACAATGATTAGTTTAATTAAGGGACGAATGCGAGGCGCAGATGAAATAAAGGCTCGTGATACTCACGACGACGTTCACAGCCCACCGGCTGCTTTAGCTGTCTGGAAGAGTGCTGCTCACGTGGCTAGAACAACGGCCGCTGTTTTAGCTTATGAACGAAAACCTCTTTTTTGTGCAATAAATACACGCCAGGTCAGTATTCTTCACGATATCCACTTGCTGTCAACTTTTGACTGTCTTTCACCATTTCTTAATGTTTTCGTGTTCCTTATACTAATTTATGTTATTTTTCAATGTTCTACATCGAAGAGAATTTCTTTTTTTTTGTTGATGCTTCAGAAAACAGCCAGTAAACAATGTTTACAGCGCTTAATCAAAAACTGGATAGCTAGTCTCTCGTCCTTTTTTCCTAATTGCTCGAAATATTTGGGCATGTCATTTACTGCAAACATCTTATGTCTAGATTTTGAACCACATTATATGCTTATTCAATATTCAAACGTTTTTATTGCGACGAAATTTTGTGAACATCATGAAACTGAACCATTCGAAGTTGTGTTTATGTCCACTTTGTTTCATAATTTGTTATGTTAAACTTAGCAGCTTCGTTTCGCCTCTATATGAACGATTTGTAGCGCGACTGCCTCCTGGCAATGGCACGTCTTTCGGCGGTACTTTCCTTCTGCATCCAGCTCCTTCCGGACTTCATCGCTAATATGCTACGAGTTCTCCTTTCACCACCTCCGCTAGCAACAACCTCTGGTGCAGCTCCTGTCAGCCCACGATCACCGGAGTATCACACTGCTACGAGCCCTGTCCATAGCTTCACGAATGCTAGGTATTATTTTTTCCTTTTTTCAATACTTGACGGGTGTACATTTTGCTCTGAATCTCTTATCATTAGCTAATTTTATTAGCAGCGGTTGAATCTGCAAAATCATAGCTTTCTAAAATCTTGGAACGAATTGCAAGTTTTGTAACGTACTGCACTCGCCCAAACGTGAGAATGATTTCACAGCAAGCGGTGTTCTTGAGTTTTTACATCAAAAGAAAGCCTACCAGCGCATGTATGAGTAAGCTTTCCTCGGTTATACCCCTGTTGATTTGTGTACATGAGCTTGTCTGTGATCGGCCACCAAAACTCAAAACCGTTGTAGCTTCTGTGAAATAGCGAATGTTTGAATGTTTCTAGCCCGTTGTCGTCATCAGCAGATTCCCCGGCGAAGCTGTTGTCCTCCACGTTTGCGCAACTATTTTCGAGTAAAAAGGATGTCAATGTCAACCTCCTCCATGTGGACATGTTGAGTCTCGCTGTGGGTTTCTAACTCCATTTTTTTTTTCAATTGGCTTTGATATATGAACGAGATTGGCATGTTGTTTATGAACAAAAAAGCTTCGTTCTAGATCTCGCTGATGATGTCAATTGGATGGACGTGGCATGATGGAGTTCAGTCTTTGAAAACAACACGGCAACTTCGTGAGATGCTGCCAGATGGCTCCCAGGATGAACTGCATGTTCTGCGTCTCTGCCTTAGTGGACTTTTCTTCCAGGTGAGTCAGCGATAGCGGCTATGATTAGCTTTTTTGAGTTACAAGTTCTACAGTTTTTTCTTTGGGTCTCTTTGCTATCTTCTTATTTCATGATGTGTAGACATTTACCTTGGCCCTGGAAATTGAATGGCGTGAAATGGCTCATGTTCACGATTTGCAAGTATTCCCAACTATCATTGCAGTAGTGCAAGTCTTGTTTCATGTCTCGATGTCAGTCTAAACTTATAAAGCTTTCTGGTGAAGAAATCAAAGCCAGCATCGAGACTGGAAAAAGTATGGGTAACATACGATTCGCGTTCATGTCCTTTGCACGGCCTTGCCGGTCCACTGACAACCAAACTGACCAAACTTGATTTCAAATAAAACCATAATCTCGCGATCCCAATTTCTTTTTCCTCGCTGCAACCTTGATCCCTTCTATAAAATTTTCATAGGAATCTAATGTTTGTCTGCGTTGAAGTTACGTGACCTCTTTGTTGTTTTTAGCTTGGTATTTTTGTGTATTACTTTGGTTCTTGACTTCACGCTTCGTGTTCAACTCATTCGTAATCAGTTTGTCTTTTGCAGGTTTTCGCAACATTCGAAGACAGTGAGATGTCGGAGGCAGATGACAATGAGAAAGTCGATGAAATATTGGCCACGCGTCTTCAGCTACTGTGGTCAATCGTTAGACCTTCGGACACTCCTCTCAGTGATGTCGCGCGTCTTCGATCGGTAATTACTTCGTTTTCCGATTATATTTCTGTGAATTTTATTTATTTGCAATACATTACTCCATTACAGACTCTTGTTGAAGCGACACTGTCGTTTTTACGTCCTCTAGCTCTTTTCTATCACGCTCTAACTCTGGTCAATCCTCCGGAAGCATTGAAAGGTGCAGTTATTGTGCTTTTGTGGAAATTCTTAGAATTTGTGAGTGTTCCATAAGGAAAATATTAGGTTGTAAGGAAAGTTCTGGCCGTTCCGTCAACTATTTTTCAAAAAGTTATAACTCATCTCAAAGTGAACATTTTTATTTATAGTAAGCCCCATTCGATTCTACACATGTTTGCCAACGTGATACAAGTCTGTCTATTCCACTCTTATAAAAGTCCGGAGATCTGTATTCCAGAAACTCGAGAAAGGCAGCTTCCGCATCGCCTTGATTTTTGAACAATCGTTCCTTTAAGGAGCTGTCCAGATGTTTGAGTAAATGGTAGTCAGTTGGTGACAGGTCTTATGAGTAGGGTGGATGAGGGAGAGCTTCGATTCGCAGCTCGTTCAACTTCTGGAAGGCAATTCGTGACACATGCGGTTGCGCATTGTCGTGTAAGAGCAGTAGACCGTGGCGACTGACTAGTGCTGGCTGCATTTGCCCCAGTTTCGTGTACTTCTTGTGAATTTGATCACAATATGACTGTGCGGTGCTAGTTGGACCTGGAGGAAGAAACGCGTAGTGGATTAAACCATGGTTGGACCACCAAACTGTGGTCACTGCCTTCGTGACGTGTAAACTTGGTTTGGGAAAT